TTTCCCTGGAAATCAGCGGATATGTTGTTGCAAGTTGTAACACCGAGCCATCATCGGAAGAATCGATTTGCTTTTCTGCGGAAATTTTTGAGAATCGCATTCATGCATGGATTTCCTGCGGCTCAAACAAATTGGCTAACAGCTTTTTCCAAGCTAGCTGCCAGCTTTTTGTGCGCTGTGCTTGAAGACTGGCAGCTTGCCAGGGACTGGCCTGTTGGACAATTTCGGTCGCCACTCACACGAGACCAAATGGCCTCAGAAGTTCCCTTTGGAGGTGTTGCTGGTGTGGTGAATGGGCATTTCATGGATGTAGAGACAGCGTCCACTGTCCAGGACTGCTGTGTATTTGGAATACACAGCCATGCCCAGTTATACATTATATATTTTCCTGTGACAGTGAGGCACCTGTGGACCATTTGCTGGGTACCTCAGCTGTGGATGCTCAGAGTGACGGGCCTACAACTTTGGCTGGCACTGAAGTTAGCACTGCTAGCACCAGCCACTTCCAGTGGGATTTGGTGACTTTTGATGGCAGCCCTCAAGAGAAGAAAGACCGGCTGCACTCGACCGTGTACAATGCCATCAAAGGTGCCTGAACATTTCCATTCGGCCTGCCATATGATTTCAACATAGTAGTTGTTATGCGCATTTCTTCTGCTGTGTAGGTTATGGAGGGGCCCGTCAGTTCTTGCAAGCCATGTACCCGACTGACACTGAACGACAAGTGTTCTACACGTGGCTGAAAGATGAGATTGGTTTCGATCCTTCTGTGCCATATGCGGCCAAATTTGGTGACATCCCTCTGGCCAGCCCCAATGGTGAGAGTGCAGTGCTTCCAGTCAGGATACCATGCTGGTTTTTCAGTTTTTCCAATGAAGCAGGCCTCACCGGTGCCCCTGAGTTGGATAAAAGTCAACAGCTTCTGGGAAAACTCTTGGCCTATGGCTTCTCAACCAGCGATGAACCATTGCGCGTTCGATTCCCTGCTTTTTAGCTGCATCTTTCTGGGTAAACTGTCACAATGATGTGCAGCTTGGATTTTTTTGCGCAAGCTTATTGTGACCATTGAAATGGTCTTGTCCAGGCTCACTGCTCCTTGGACAACGCCATTGGCAATGGGGAAGTGCTGTACTTGAAGGGGCAACTTCGGGTTGTGACAACCTTGGCGTTTCTCGCAGTGGTTCACCAGAAGAATGCTTCTCTCAAAGAGGCTGTGCATTTAACAGCTCACATTTTGCAATGTAAAAATTGCATTTTTCTTATGCACCTTCCACACATGTGTCCCCGTGCACAGGTCGACAAAGAGGTGCACTCAAGCCTCCAGCATGTCATGGCTCTTGGCGTCAAGCTGACTGACCGGAAGGAGGAACTGTTTTGTGGCAGCAGTTGCGGCAAAGATTTCCTTGACGCCTTGTGCCACTAAACGTGTGGCAGTTGAGTGCTGTCTCAAGGTTCTACAACTTGCGTGTGGGCACCAAGGGTCAGATCCGAACTGCGCCCAGTGCTGTCACATGGGTGAATTCTCTGATGGAACTGGCTAAGACAGGAGACAAAGATTCTCAGGCAACCATAGCAGCCTGGAATGGGCAGGCTGCAAAAGCAGACCGAGTAGTGGGCAACAAATTCATGACCGTGAAGAACTTGCTTGATATGAATGCAGAGTGTCGGTCCATGTTGTTTGCGTACATCAGTGAACGCGGGATGAGCAGCTGCTTAGCCCACATATGCTTCAGGTTTGTGCGCCGTTCTTTGATGTTCAAAAGGTGCAGTTTTTCATGCGTAACTGAGACTCGCCCTACAACGAAGATCTTTTGAGCAGCAAGAAAATCCAGCTTGGGTCGAGTTTCAAGACAGCAAAGATTGGGAAACAAAGCCCTTGGGCTGGACCTTGGAGTCGGGTCACGAAGGATGGTCTTGCTTTGTGGATCCAGTGCTTGGGTTCGAAGTGGGACAAGCTTCCTGCTCACCTTCGCAAGAAACCGACAAAAGCAGAAGGAGAGCAACTGCTTGAGCAATGTTACTTGTCTAAATTGTTTGTGAATTTAGTGCTTCAGTTTCCCAGCACTCATTCTGTGCTCGCCAGGTGCCTTGGCAGCTGGTCTCTTCAATGACCTCACTGGCATGGCTCCCCAATTGGAAAACATTGCCCTGGACCAGTGCTTGCCTCATTGAACTTGCACTTCCCTGTTTTGCAATCCCCAACTGAACAGTTTTTGCTTGATGCAACGTCAGGTGGTGGAAGAGAATCCAGGAAGCTGACCCGACTGTGTTGATGGAGCTGAACAATGCCGTGACCACCAAGGATGAAAAATACACCATTCGTGACAATCCCAGTGTCTTGGTAGCCTATAAACCTGGAGGCTGTTGTTTTCTTTACTCTCAGGCGTCACAGTGGGTCATACTTTTTGCATTCTGTATGTGGTGGCAGTGCTGCTTGTTTGTCCCAGGCTTGAAGATCTTGCTTGACACCCATGGCAAAAGTAAAGTTGCTGATGGAACTGCTGTCATTGCGCAAGCATCTGCTGTTGATGTCTTGGAAGCAAAGCAGCAGCAAATGGAGTCTCAGGCATTTGATCTTACTATGGGGGAGCTGGAGTTTGACCTGCAATCGTTCCGAGTCTACCAACAGAAGGTTGTCAACGCCAGGTCGAGCAGGGCCCGATGCGTTCAGGAGTGGGCAAGCAAGTCCATTCAAGCCTCCATGGCTGCGGCTGAGGCCTACTTTGACACACATGTAGCCTGATGTGAGATAGTTTGTGGCAGTGTAGCATTTCTGTGGCACCTCTTACATTCACTAATGCAGTTGATGACTGTATTCTTCCAAGTTAATTCGCATGAGGTCAGCAATCTGGTTTGGGAAAATCACGACACTGGAGCGGTTGCCATCACCGCCTACAAAGAAGAACGTGTCTCCCGCACCCGCCAGCTTGGAATTCCTTCGGATGGCATGGCAGCTTGCCATTGAATCTTTTAAACTCTTATGGAGCCACTATTTCCTGTAGCTGCACCATGGCTGATTTCTCCTGAGGTCCCTGTGGCTCTTTTGAATTGTGCTGCCCCAGCTGTTGTGCACACAAGCCACATCCAAGCTGCCATGCATTTGACACAGTATGTGATGTCAGACTCGCAGAAAGCCATTGGCCTAGCACTCACGCCTGTCTTCAGTTACACCAAGAATGGTGTCTGGAAAGAAGAGGGTACCATCATGCAGTATTTGGCTAGTACTGGGGCACACTGTGACCGCCAATGGTTCTTGACTTTCAAGGAAAAATGCGCGCCAACCTCAGCTATTATCACAGCAGCTTCATATGAGGTTGGTCATGAGAAATGACCACAGCCATTTGAAGTTGCTGTGGCCCAGGACCTTCGCGATGACCGGCCTTTGACGTATCCAGGGCGCATTTTGACACCAGCAGCTGCTGTGCCCAAAGAGTACTTCTGGAAGAAAAGTGCTGCGCTGACGCATGGCAGAACCGAGCCGGCCAAGCAGATTCCAGGGAAAGACATGAGAATGATTGAAGATTGCAGCGGGTCTGCGCTGCCAGCAACAACTGATGCTGATTGCACTGTGCGTGGCGCTGCGAAGAGTGCGCAGATCGGCGGAGCAGCTGCTTCCAAAGTCTTTGCTCTCTTGACAGACTCTCACCTATTACATTTGCATGTTGCATCACACGCGTGCTGCCTTGATCTTTCATGCCCCCCTGTTTCTCTGAGGATGGCATGAATTTTGGTAGCCAGATGGCCGTGGACTTCTTGGACCTCTTCCCGGTTGTGGGAAATTTTTTCGAAGTGCGCCCTCTGCTTTGCTGTCTTTGAAGGCTTCTCAATTTTGTTAACATATGGAACTGACACGAGCTAACAAGCCAAGATGGAATTTGCCAGGGATTTGTGGATGCACAGCAGGGTGCCAATGTCAGCATGCACTACACTTGCTGGTGGGGCGAGGACAATGCTGCTGAATGGTTCAAATCCATTTCCCTCGAGATCTTGTCATGCAGATTCAGGGAAGATCGCCTGGCAGTTGCTGGTCACCAGAGGACAGGGGATTGGGGATATGTCAAATTGAAATCAGAACAGCAATTTGGAATGAGTTGTTATTGGCACAGTGGTGTTTGAAATCTTTGTGCTTGACACCATTTTTGTGGCTCAACCAACCAGGCGCAAGACGACTAGGTTTAGTTGTTTGGAGCCAAGTGCAGATGCCGCAGCCAGAGCGCTGGGAACCCCAAACTCAGGCTGAGCAGAAGCTCCGGAAGCTAATGGACCAGAAGTGGAAGCGAGAAAAAAAAACGAAGACAGAAGAGAAGGGATGAAAAAAACCTTGCTAGAGACAGCGCTGAACATGATGCATCGGCATCTGCCGAACAAGGGGCAATTGCAGAAGATGGAGTTCTTGGACCACTGGCGCCGACACATGGCGCTGCGCCCTCTGCAGTTTGCCAGAAAGTGGAAACACCTGAAGCTGAGGCAGCTTCCCACATGCCGAAACAGGATGCGCCGAAAGAGGATGTGGCTGAGGCAGCTTCTGCCCACATGATGAAAGAGCATGTGGCCAAGCCAGTGGGTGTTGCTCGACAACAGGAGCAAAATGTGCCAATGAAGAGTGAGGTGCGGAGCCCCACTAGCCCTGCAGAACCTGGGCTCATGGATGCCTGCGGAGATGTGCCCACCGGCTCTGAGAAGTTGGAAACGTCTCCATGCACAGCACAAGTTGATGTCAAGAAAGAAGTGGCGCAGATGGGCCCAATGAAGACTGACTCTGAATTGGCTGATGAATGCCACAGGGCCTTTCTAGAACGAGGCTCACCAAAACCAAAACGAATGGTAGCCCAGTACAGGAAAAGTAAGCGCAAAATGCTGCGCTGATATTTTGGAGACACACCGCCGGCCTCATGTGAAAAAACCATTGCGCAAGAGTGTTGTGTAGCGTTCAACTGAACTTGTGCTTCTGAAATTGTTGCCAGCCACTTTGTTGCCAACCAGCCTTGTAAGGTCTGGCTAGCAACATTTCTGTTGCCAGCCAGCCTTGAAAGGTCTGGCTAGCAACATTTTTGTTGCCAGCCAGCCTTGAAAGGTCTGGCTAGCAACATTTTTGTTGCCAGCCAGCCTTGTAGGGTCTGGCTAGCAACATGTTGGACTAGCTTCCAGGTTGTGTTTCCCAAAATACTTGCGCTTTTTTTTTGCTCCACTCTGTCGGCTTCCAGGATGGCAGCTGAATGTCCTGCGCAAACCCTCGACCCCTTGCCGGACCTGCCTCCAATGAAAAAGCTCATCTTTGCGAAGGTGCGGTTCGGTTCACTCAGCTTTCAGTTTTTGACTTACTACTGCGGTATATAAGTCCTTGTCAGGACGAAGACGGTGTGGCAGTTGTCCCAGGAGTGCCTGAGGAACTTGTCCGTACATACTACCACCATGACGTCTTCGGCGACAAGTTTCGTGCTTTTGTGGACGGCTTGGTGGAAGAATATGGTACCATTCATGCTTACAAGGAAGCAGCCACCCGAGTTCCCAGTGTCAAGCGCCAGAATGGTTCTCCCACTGCTGAACCGGCCAAACGTCTCAAAGTTGCAGTGTCGCCAGTTGTCTTGGATGACCTTGGTGGAGTGGAAACCCGCAAGGCGGGTGTGACATGGAATACCGGGGAATAGTTTCACAGTGCTAATTTTGTCGAAAACCGAAACCCATGCTGACATATCATATCTTTTTGCGCAGGTGATTTTGCAAAATATCCGGAGCTCTGGCACACCTCCTTTCTTGACAGTGCGCACTGGGTCTTCTGTGGCCCTTGTGAACCCAGCTGATTCCCAGGCTTCTTGGCTCCACAGTGTTCCACTTGTATGCTGACGTCTTTCGAAAAGAGTTCAGTATGTTTGGGCCAATGTGTATTCATGTGCGCAAGCTTTGCGCTGACATGGCCTGTCTCAGGTCAAAATTGCCATGCACTCCTTGTGCTGTGGGTTTGGAGAAGGGAAATTTCGCGAAGTGGCTGCTGACTCTGGCACTTTTGACCCGGAAGCTGAGATTGCCTTTGATATGAAGGAAGGCTCTGACTATGTCATGCTGGACAACAAAGTCATCACTTTGGCTGAGGTGGTCCGGGGAAGAAAAGCAAGTGCGGGGGCAGCAAATGTGTGCTACCACACGATTCAAGAGAAGCCTGGTGGTGATGGCTTTACTCTGCAGCAGGCTAGGTTGTTTGACATGCCTTTTTTTGCCTGTTCATACATTTTTTGAACTGCTCAAAGTGATGTTGCAGGACCACAAGGTGGCTTTCAAGCCAAAGCCTGGCCAACTTGGTGAGAATGCAAGTGGCAGTGTGGCTTCGATCTCTCAGGCGATGGGTGGTTTGGCAATGCCGTGCCACTTCTGGAACACCAAGGTTACTGCTGTAGTGTGGATGGTCCGATGGACTGTGAATGGCCTGTCACCCATTCGGCCTGTTGTGGTTTGGCTGGCTGATCCCGTTTTGGATGGCTGCAGAGCTTTGAAGCTTGAAGCTGCAGCTTAGTTAGTGCTTCGAAAGATGCCGAGGGGTATCTGTGCCTGAAGTCTTTATTGAACACGTTCCACTGTTCGAAACTAGAAGTTTCAACGCTCGAATGCTTCTGCTGTGCACAGATTTGAT